ACGAGTAAATCTGTCAATGCAGGTGAGTAGATATCGATAAGCATCAGATGGTGGCAGAGGACCGACGATGTCTATATGGAACATGGTCGAATCATTCGGAGGGCATCACGATTTTTTTCAAAAGGCTATGTGTGTGCCGGGTAACTTTTGAACGTTGGCACATAATGTAGTAATGAGTCCAATTGGCAATGTCCTTTAGCATGGATGGGCCAAACGAATCTTTCTTGTATGAGCTTTTTGGAAGCTCGGATACCTGGGTGTGAGAGATTGTGGAAACAGTCAAAAACTTTTTTCTGAACTCAAGTGGTACATAAGGTCAAAGTCTGTTGTTAGAGGTATCGCACAATAGTTGGAAATCCCGAGTAAGTTGTAATGACTGAAATTTCAGCGAGCAGTTTGGGTCTTCACTCAGACGTTTAGCTCCTCATCAGTGGCTTGCGAGTGAGCAATAAGCATGAAATCCAGTGGTGCATTGGCATCGATGCCCTGAATACGTGAGAGAGTATCCGCGACGACATTGCTGGAACCTGATATATGCTGAATATCAGTGCTGAATTGAGCTATATATTTTAAATGCCGAATTTGTCCCGGGGAAGCAGAATTTGATTTTGATGTGAATGCATAAGTTAGAGGTCGGTGATCAGTAAATATTGTGAAGTGTTGACCTTCAAGATTATGCCTGAAATACTTAATAGCTGCGTAAATAGCTAATAATTCTCTGTCATACGTGCTGTATTTTTGTTCTGTAGGGGACAGCTTATGTGAGAAAAATCCTAGCGGCTGGTAGTCATTAGAATGTCGAACGTTTAAGACAGCTCCGATGGAAATATCAGAAGCGTCGACCATAACACTCAGCTTTTGGTTAGGAGAGTGATAGGAGAGAGTTGCAGCATTACTAAGGTTGTGTTTACATTTTTCAAATGCCTGATTAAGTTCGTCGTTTCCAAGGAACAGGCGGTTTATCATTTTTACAGTAAAAGAGTCTTTTAAGAGTTCATTCATTCAAAAGCTTGGGTCTCGGTCTGCCTTTTGTAAGAAGGCGGCGATAAAAGAGTTATCATGGCTAAAAAACGTCTGAGCTCGACAATAGTGGTAGGTTCTGGGAAGTCGGCAATTGCTTTTGTTTTCTCAGGAAGGGGTTTTACACTTGAGGCAGTAATGAGGCAACCTAAAAATGAAACAGATGGTTTTCCGAGTACACATTTGTTAGGGTTTAATGTCAAACCATGTTTATTCAAACGATCAAACACTTGACGAAGATGACGGATGTGCTCTCTTCGCTAGTCGATGCAATAAGGATGTCGTCAAAATAAGGGATGCAAAAATCCAATCCAAATAAAACTTCATGTATAAAACATTGGAAAGTTTGGCCTGAATTTCGTAAACCAAACGGCATAAACAAAAATTCAAAAAGACCAAAAGGGGTTGTGACGGCAGTTTTCGGAATGTCTGCAGGGTTAACAGGAATTTGATGATAGGCAGGTGCTAAATCAAGTGTTGAGAACATGTTCTTTCCTGAAAACATTTGAGTGCAATCCTGAATATGGGGTACGGGATAGCGATCCGGAATTGTAACGGCATTTAAGCGACGATAATTCCCGCACGGTCGCCAGTCGCCATTAGCCTTACGAGCCATGTGCAGGGGGCCTGCCCAAGGACTTTTTGAAGGCTGAATGATGCCTTTTGATAGGAGAAAATCAAACTCTTGACGTGCAGCTTGAAGTAATTCTGGAGATAATCTTCTAGGTTTGGAGAAAATAGGAGGTCCTTTAGTTTCAATGTGATGGAAAATCGTTGACATTGGTGGCCTCTCAAAAGTTTGCGAAGGATTCGTCAAGCTAAGGTAATCGGCAAGAATTTTGTCAAACTTTGAGTTACCCATCAAAATATGAATGCTAGTACTGAGCGGGTTCACATGAGGAAGTCTACCGCAATAATATAGTTTTGTTTGTCCATCAATTAAACGGTTGTTTTTAACGTCTATGAGTAAGTTGAACTTTGTGAGAAAGTCAACACCTATGATGGGTTGATTCACCTCTGCCAGGACAAAAGACCAAGTAAATGAACGACGTAAGTTTAAATTGATGGTCAAAAGTTTGGTGCATACGTTGCTATTTTGGTGCCGTTAGCAGCAAAGAGTAGCAATGCAGCTGGGTTTTTGGCATGCTGACTGTAACTCTTGGGAAAATGACAGATAAATCGGCTCCCGTGTCGATTAAAAAGGTGAGTTTTTGACGATGGATCAGCCAAAAGAATTCGATTTATGTGGCGGTCGCAACTTTGGCCGACAAGCGATCGCCGATCTAGTTTTCCGACTGCCGAAAATTGCATGGAGAAACACACTTCCGTGCATTGGAACCAAAATTAGTATGGTAGAAACAAATGTTGTTGCACGGTTCTTTATACTGTCGATAGCGTCCATTGGATCTATTACGCCTTCTGTTGCGTTGGGAATGATTGTCTCTTCGTTCACAGGAACGCTCTCGGCTGTTTTTGATGGCTAGAAAAGTTCATTTACTTGCTTCGTCAGCTCTGCAACTTGCTATTCAATGGGAGAGGTAGATGCCGTAGCAACACTATTTATGTGAGATAGAGTTGTAAGATCTGTAATTTTATCAGCTAAAACTGCGAGTTTTGAGAGATCATCACTTAAGGCAGCAAGAATACTCTGTGCATTTTGCGGGAGATGGGATATCCATAGAGATTTTAACAAGGGTTCTCCACAGTCTCTCCAGCGAGGTTTCGCATACGGCAAAGTAATTGGTGAATGGGCGTTGATCACCAAGTTCGAGCCCCTTGAAGAAGTGTACAGATCTTTGACTCCTCACTTTCAGAATGCAATTCAATTAAGCGTGAGTTTTTAGTGCATCATATTTGCCAGTCACTGGTGGGTGCAAAACGATATCACAAACGCTATTGAGAATATCAGAATTCGATTGCAGATATCACATGATTGAATTTCGTGGAGTCAACAGTGATTCCGGCGATATCAAACTGGGCCTCCTAGTTGTGCAAACCACAAAAGTAGGGATTGACCTTCCAAAATGGGGGAGGTTTGACGGAAACACGTGAAATATTAAGATCGTCTGCGATGGGTTGTGGTGGAGCCATGATTCACAAAAACAAATATATATTGCCAAATATGACACAAATAAATGCACAATAATCAGTCACTAATAAGTTCACATACGACACTAGTGCAAAATAAATAAAGTTAATGTAAACATTAACGTGAGAGAAACACTTTTGCAGGTAAGCTATCCGAATATAAGCATAAGTAATACTAAGAATTTGCGTGGCTTACCTCCGAATTATACGAGAAATATTTGCTCAGTCAGCAGCAGATTCAGCACAAACACAATTCACTTATAGAAAAAATATTCCGAAAAAACTTATTTTATGATATGTAAACCACGTTGTACGATTTATATGGAGATCACTTCAAAGCACTTTGACGATTTGCATGAGACACATTATAATTCACAAGCACGTTGTTCAGCAGGCACAACTGTTTTTCACACTATACTGACACGAAAATAATGATGGATTACACTAGTAGTTTGCATGAACAGAAATAATTTTCACTTCATAGCACATTATAATCACAGAACTTGAGGATGCAAGCAGGTTACAGGAGGCACGTGTTCACTAACTTAACGAGTCACCATTTATGGCAGTTGTTGATGGATGCCATTTTTGATTGCACGTTGAATGTTAACAAAATCTGACTCAGAACGTAATATTAACATTTATATTTAATTCTAGGATGATATATATTTTAACATATATTCACTTATACACCAATCACATTGCATGTAGTTACAAGATGAGCATTTTTCAGTTTGCAAGTCCGCATGAGTAAAAATCAAGAAAGTCATATTACAGCTACGATAACATCACGGAGGGAAAGAGAGGTGTGTGCGTGCTTCACCGACGGCAGCCAGGAACCAAGTAACCAGTTCGAATTTTCCTCCAGAGAGGAAGAGGGAGAAAGCTGGTAGCGCCCTCTCTCGGGGCAGCGAACAAATAATAATAATAAAGAGTTCTCCACAAGTGCAAAAGCTACTAAATGATCTAAACTTTTGGCAGCACAACTGACAACAAATTGTTCTAAATATTTGTAAGTGCAAAAGGGACCAACAGTTCTAAATTTCTGTTGGTATGAAAAAAAAAACTTTTCTAATTACTTGTAAATGTGAAAAGCACTAATTGTTCTAAATTATACGAGTGCAAAAGGCAACAATTGTTCTAAATTATACGAGTGCAAAAGGCAACACTTGTTCTAAATTTTTATAAGTGTGAAAGTCACAAACTGTACAAAAGTTTTTATCAATAAATGCCTAACAATGACGAAGAGACGACCAGGCCCCACGAATGGTGGTGGAGATCGCAGCGTGAAGTAACCAAATTCAAAGCATTTCTCAAGGTACTTGGCAGGTCCCTTGTTCCTGCATGGTGTTGCCGTCTAGATAGTTAATTTTGTTGGACTATACCCACATTACCTATGGTTTGAACACTGGGCGCCCGCTGCACTTTTAAACTTTAGCTTGGACACTGTAGCAGCCTTTGCTAAAATTTTATATCAGTTTATTACATATTCAGTGATTCAAATTTGTGAATTCTGGTGACTAAGTGTGTTGACAACTTTGTATATACAAGTGTTTGTATAAATAGTCAAATATAAAACATTATCGGTGATGATAAATAGGAACACATAGTTCACCACAATAAGAAGAGACTTGACCTCACCTGTTTGGAAGGGGAATTTTACTGCAGACAAACATAAGGAGCACATTCAAGATTGAAAATAATGCTATACAGCATACACTATTAGTTCAAGTTTGCCTAAAATAAGATGCTGGGATTTGACAATGATGTAGGAATGCCCAAGTCTCTTCTCATGGTGGGCAGAATTTATCATATTTCAAACATGCACAAAATTATGCAAATAAAACATAATTCATTCTTTTAAATAAGATTAAATGTTTCATTATACAGACCGATATATATGATTTGAAGCAGCATCCAGCTCTCTTAGCTCAGAATATGTTTTTCCAGACAGCATTCCAAATCCATCAGTTGTTCGTTCTAGAGTATCATCGTGAAATAATACAGCTATATTATCTTTGGTGAAAGATAAGTCAATTTCAACACCATCAGCTCCATTCTTCTTAGCCTAGAAGAAAAAGATATCATAAAGGATATTAAGCAAAAATCTGACAGCATTTTGGCTAACTCCAATACAACATTTTTAATGACTGAATAAATTAAATGTTGCTTATGCTATACGTACAAATTAATATAAGCATATAAAATTAGGCAAAAAAGCAAACTTAGATCGACAAAGATTTTGCATAAAATGGTTTCAAGGAGCAAGAAAATTTTTTACTTCTGAAGAAGATGGATTCATCAGTTTTGCTTAAAACGTATGCTAATCTTAAGTTTCTTTTTTGCTTAATTTTACACTGATGTGTTTATCTTCTAACTAAACCATAAGCATATTAAACATTTCTCTCTTAAATGTAACATATATTAGTAGCACTTCTTTTTTAAATGTGAATACTATAAATTGTTTACTGCTTAGAAATATTTTACACATTTAAGATTTACCATAGTTACTTGTACAAAAAAGATCCCTTTCTTTGCTATATTTTTGCTCTAAAATTTGGTAGGGTCTTAAAAATGAGTATTTTGACAAATGAAATTGCAGTTTGAGAGGAAAGCAAGGAGCAAAAGGAAAAAAAAAAAAAAAAATAGAATAAAGTTGGATTTTTTTTTTTTTTTTACCTAAATCAAATTTCTTTCTTTCTTTCATTTTTCTTTAAAATCATTAAATGGTTACCACCTACTAAGATTTTTCTGTATTTTTCCATTTTGCTGGTGCATATCTTGCCAAGCAGACTTTATTGGCGACAACATACAGTACACACATAAAACATGTTAACAAATGTTAATTCTAAGAATTTTTTATTTTCAATTTTATTTATTTATTTATTTTTTTCATTTTAATATTGTTTAAAATTTTGTAAAAAGTCAATAAATAAACACAATAAATTTGAAAAAAGACATTAATTTAAGAATTTACTATGCTTTCATGGTTCAATATCCTGATTCGTCGGTTCATATCACGTGACCCCAAGTGATCTTATCTTACAAAAATCTAATTCTGCCAGTAATTATCTTCATTAATTTCAAGTTAAATCTTAATTTAGAATGCAAGTTTAAATGTAAGAATTATTTCAATTTGTATAACTTACTCAGAAATTATGTAAAACTGTAGTGCTTTACTTCTAGTGCATTGTCATTAGAATTGATGAATTTAATCCTTGACCTTGCCTTTTCTGTATTTTCGCCTTTAAGTGAGCCATATGATTGCATCCTAATCACATGGCTCACTTAAAGTGTCACTTAAATCACGTGACCCCAAGTGATCTCATCTCATGTAAACTATGCTACAAAAATCTAGCTCTCTCCATAATTATCTACATTAATTTCAAATTAAATCTTAATTTGGAATGCAAATTTAAATGCAAGAATTACTTCAATTCGTATGAATAGCTTACTCAGAAATTACGTGAAACCGCAGTGTTTTACTTCGATAGTGATTATGAACTCTGAATTAGAACTGATGATCTCATTAGAACTAATGAATTTAACCCTTTACTTTGCCTTTTCTATATTTTTGCCTTCGGGTGAGCCGTGTGATTGCATTCTAATTGACTTAATTACCGCGAATGGCCTTACGGCATAAAGTTGAACTATCTGGTAAAAATTCTATGTAATTGTATGCCAGTATTGAAAGAAACAATCAATCTAATAAGAAATGGCTGCGACTTGTTTTGAAAATGAGGCGTAAAAGGTTACCAGCGAGGAAATTCCTTTTAACATCGGTTGTACAATTTTTGGCCACTTGCACCAGCACTTGCACTTGCACCACCAAAATGGAAAAGTATCTTTTCTTTTACTAATTTCAATGTCTCTTCCTTTTTACTTGTTAGTAAAGCTTCAGCTTTAAGGGTCCCATAAACTTCATTCCTGATTACACGGCTTTTTTTTTTTTTTTTTTTTTTCTTAATAACTCGACATTTTCTTTGTTTTCAATCACTAAAATCTGCTAAAGCAGTAAAACAGAACACTATCTCTGAATTAATGCAGTGGTTGGTAATTTATTTATAGTTAGATTATAATAAATTCTAATATTGCTGATATGATGCAAACAGTATAAAAACATTTACTGTATTATTATAATTACATCCCACATTTATATACTATATGAATCTCTGAAGTTTTCTTGTTCTATTTAAAGATTTGTTATGGTATTCTCATTTTGCAATTTTTTTTTCTTTCCATTAGTGGACGATATTTCTTGCAACCAGTAAAATTAATCTGGTAAAAGGTTTTGTCCTTTCTATGAAAATTTCAATCTACTCCCTTTCTCTTCTCAGTAACAAAATTGCGGAAGTGGCCATTCTGGATAAAGTTTCTCAATTTATATCAGGTTTATAAGTATTATATCATGTTGTCTGTGAAAGTGGCCACCCAAATGGAATACAGTCAAAAGTCTTTAATCCGGAATGATCTATAATCTGGACCTCAAAGCTACAAACTTTCTGCGCATGCGTAAACGCATAATGCATTTACGCATGCGCATAATACCTTCACGCATGTGCATATGCATTTATGCATGCGCATAATACCTTTACGTATGTGCATATGCGTTTACGCGTGTGTATAATACATTTGAGCATGCACGTTTAATGTATAACGGACGGTATAAGCTAACCTAAATTATCTAATTATCTATTTCAGTTAATGTTGCAGACTGCGTTGTTCCTTAATCTTCGAATTGGATCCGGCTTATTATTTTTTGCAGACTGTTAGAGCAATCTTATAAAAGTAAGCTTGAACTTTCGATTATGTCAAACAGAATTTCCGATTCTGTAGCTGTCAAAGGATCTACAAAGTGAAAGCATGTCTGTTCATAAAATTATGTCTGTTTATAGAATTAAAGAGAAAGTATTAGCATATAAAACGAAGCAACTTAAACAATTTACATTGAAAGATATGTTTAATAAAGTAAATTATAAGTATATAAATATTTAGCGCAGAAAGTAAGTAATAAGTTTAATAAAGTATATAAATATTAAGCTTTTTTTTTTTTTGTAAATTTTGATACCCTTTAGATCATAATTGCTCTATTTCATAAATTACAGTTTCATATTTTAAATTTTATAATTTCTGCATGCCATCTTACCAGATTTAAACGGATGATCTATAATCCGGAAAAACTGATAATCCGGAATCGCCACAGTCCCGACGAGTCTGGATTAAAGACTTTTGACTGTAATAGTTTCAGTATGTGTGTGCTACATGGGAGCACACACATACTGAAATCCTCTTGAGAGGTTGATGGAAGAGGAGTGGGAGGCCGTCGACTGCACTCCAGGGCTGAACTTTCCCTTGAAATTCTATTTGAAGGAGAAATTTAGCAGTTAACAAAACTGGGTGATACTTAGTATGCCTACTTGGATACATGTGTGCCAGCCTTGCTTCAAATTTTATCTGCCTGTGCAAGTGAAAATATTGAATGAAAAGAAAACATAACAAAGTAACATAGCAATGAAAATGAAATTGGATGCCTTAAGAGACTAGGCAAAAAGGGAAGTATTAATAAAAAAATTACTAGATAAAAGCCCACTGAACAAAAGCACACAGCACGAAAACCCACAGAAAAAAAAAAAAAAAAAAAAAAAAAAAACAGTGATAATTGCCCATGCAACAAATATCTACCTGGGTAAAAGCCCACACTAATAAAAACACTGATAAAATTCCATACTGATATAAGCCCACATTGACAAAAGGCCATACAAATATATATACCATGTACATGATAATTTTTCTTTTATTTTCAGTTTATACAAAATGAATTCAGGAAATAATATAAATAAAAACTAAATTAAATTAAGGACATAACAGAACATATTTTACTTTGGGATCCAGCTGATTTTAAGCCCTGTGTGTGTGTGTATGTATGTATGTAATATAACTTGTGTGATGTAACTCAGAATGTTATATTAAAAGCTTGAATAAGTCGGACAAGGAGAGGTGAAAGTAAATGCTGGTCACACTGCTTCCCCTAATTCTGATAAATTATAAGTATAAATTGCATGTAAATTTGCATATGTACAGATAATAATTTTTATTACATTATAAATTATTTAGCAATTCCTGAAAATTTTGCATGTAATAAATTTAATATACAAAAGGAATTTTTGTTTTATCGAAAGAGCTAAAAAAATCCTAGTGTGATTACAAAAGCTTGTGTGTGCAAACTTGTATGAGGTTTCAAATGATTTAGTTAAATTTTACCTATTTTACTTTCATCTAATTTAACATCACTGTAACTTAAAACAGTGCATTAAATCATAATGGTTATTATCCGTAAAATTTTTAGGAAGTCCTAATTTTATTTTGTGGGCTTTTAACATGCAATCCTCTAAGTAACTGCTGGTTATTGATTGTGTATTCTATTACAGCCAGTAAACCATTTACCCCTAACCGAGCAAAGACGCAATTAAAGAGAGGACAATTTTGCTTAATTACATTATTCCTTTTGGAAACCCTATAAAAACTGGGGATATAATATTGCAATGTATCTTAAGTGATGTAGGCCTGTATCCTGCACTGCAAATCAAAGGTCACCAAACTATGGCCTCAAGGGCCAAAACATTATGAGAGTCCCCATATTTTTCAATAAACTTGTCTGGGTAATGTGGAAGGCATGTGATTATGTGGAAATGGTACTTAACAACTGCTGGAGAAAGAACCATTCTCATACTTACTTTTGAAAGTGATGGAAAAGGCTGCTGATCTAAGCGAATTCGATAGAGGGCAGACTGTAATGGCCCGAAGACTCGAAACAATTATCTCCCCAACTGTACATCTAGTAGGTTGTTCACAATATGCCATCGTTAGTATTTATGCAAAGTAGATACATGATGTTGAAACCAGTAGTAGATGTCACGGAGAGGCAGCTCAGAGCTCAAACATCATGTTGGAATATCTCGCCTTTGCATGACCACAGACATTTGGTACAACCTGTCCTCAGTCATTTACCAAGACATTGTGGCATCCATGCCAAGGCGAGTTACAGCTGTTTTGCCCGCCGAAGGTCAC